GGGGGTGTGGGTCTGTGTTTGGGGAGACAGAGATCTAGGGGTGTGGGTTTGAGTTTGGGAGACAGAGATCTAGGGGTGTAGGTCTGTTTTTGGGGAGACAGAGATCTGAGGGTGTGGAGGCTCATAGGTTTGGGTTTTGAGTTTTCTGGGATGAGTATGGAGGCCTGGAGGAGTGACTCTTACCTCACAGAAAGAGCAGTAACTACAGAGTGAACCTTCCTGGTATTCTTCCTCCTCTTCGTCTTCGTCTTCGTCATCGTCATCGTCGTCATCATCATCTACAAAAAGGGGTCACAATCAGCCGCAGCCTAGTGAAGTCCTTGCTTTATCACAGAACAGACAATGCTAATGTAGTTTTAAACAAACCAGAGAGCATGAATTAAGTCATGATTTCTTTATCATCACAGCATGGGAACCTGAAAAAGCCTGTTGTCTTTTACAGGAACGAACGGAATAGGAGAAGTGAATTGCACTCATTACACAAAGAGTGGTAGGGGTCAGGAACAAGCTATAGATTGTGTAAATAATGACGTCATTCAGGAAATAACTGCATGAGGTCCTGAGATCAACTCACTAGAAGCAACCAAAGGAGCTTGAGGAGCACACAAGGTACAGTTTCAATGTGAAGACGGGTTCGGGCTAGATCCGAGTTGGACTGGACAAAACATTCTCTACACGGGCTGGTCAGAACCCCTCTCTTCATGAGTCAGACTGGACAGGACCCCTCTCTTCACAAGCTGGTCAGAACCTCTCTCTTCACGAGACGGACTGGACAGAACCCCTCTCTTCACGGGCTGGTCAGAACCCTCTCTTCACGAGTCGGACTGGACAGAACCCCTCTCTTCACGGGCTGGCCCGGACTGCTCTGCATGTTCCTGTGGTTGGGAATCGGTCTCCTGGTCCCATGTTTTAAAGACACTACAGTACCAGAGTTCTTCAAAATAGCTGTTGTTTTCAGACCCAAGGGAGTCCTGCAGAATGTGTGTAGTTGTGCAGTGTGTTGAACTGTTGAACTGTGAACAGTTATCCTGTGGGACAGGGGATGATCAACTCAATACACATCTGCATGCTTTTTGCATGGTCTACCATGTTTTTTTTTCTTTTCTCACTACTACAGTACATGTTTAGTGTCCCACAACATGTATTGTTCCTGTTGTTATTATTTATTATGTTTGTAATGTACTGTCTACGTCCTGTGGTGTCTGTCCCAAGAGATCAGAATTAAGAATCCCAATATACGTGTACATACGGCAAGAAACTCCTCTACTCTCTAGTCTCTCACTGATCACCCTGTGGAACAGGAGGTGTGTCACTGAGTCCTCTGACAGATACAGACGGGGCACTGAGACGGTACAGATCCAGTCTGGCCCGATGGCACAGAGGTGAGACAGATGTGCTTCTCTCTCACTTGACTGGACTGTGCAAAGTGATCGGAAGCTGAATCAGATTCATAAAGGAAAAAGAATAATAACTAATGGAAGTGTACCAGGATCGATGGCTTTTAACAAAATAATCCACTTTCACAGGTGAGAGAGGAGGTAACTGGTCCACTTGAGGAAGAGGACAGCTGAGAAGAAGCAGCCCGTACAAGGTCTCTCATTCAGCTGGACTGCTGGGGACCTCTCAGACTCACGGCAAACGCTCTGAAGATCCTAAGACAGAACCGACTCAGCTATCTGAGTGATCTGAGAGACTGAAGTCCTGGATAGTCAGGGGACTCGTGGGGAAGCAGGACCTGCACAAATAAAGAGCTGGCAGTTCTGCAGTCCTGCAGTTCACCCCGGGACAATCATCAGTCTCTAACGAGCTATAATGGCCATTTCAAAAAGTCACACGGTGTGACCTCATGTTTCCTGAGCTGAATCAGCACTTGCATCAGGTGGTGGGATCTGGCTTTGTGCAAGACTTGTGTTCTATACCGGATATAAACACTTTTGGCTTGGGTTGGTTACTATCTGATTTTTTAAGTTACATTAAAATAATTCATTAAAGACAATTTATTTTAGAAGACAGGTCAGATGACAGGTTGAGTGTGACTCAAGTAAGGTAATGAGTTTGAGCTGTCGTGGGAGAAAAGAACAAGACATGGGCCTCATGCAGGAGACTGCAGAAAGGGTTAATAACACATTTATTAATAACATCATGGTTGTTATATGACTGGTATTACTGGCAGGTAGGTCACACACGGGCACTGAACAGCACTGAAATTGGTAAAGTAATACTGCTGAACCCCCGCTAGAGGGAGGCAGTTAGCAGCTTTGTCATTTTTTTTTAATATCAGGTATTGAAAAAGCAGGTCTGTCTGATCACACATTGCAGGTGTGAGTTTGTGAGTTTCAGGTGAAATTCGTGAAGAGTTAGTACAATTTATTTCCATAAACAATGTCAATTTAATGCACTATGTACAGAAATAAGGAAAAACATTAGATCAGGTGCAACAGAGACAATGCAGAACTTTCACCCCTTCTTACATTTTGGGTTTGTGGGGCATTTTGAGGCATTAAAGTTGATTTTCCTTTGTATATTCAGTTACTGTCTCTATTGCTTGTATCATCTTCTAAGTTGTCCTCTTTAACCTACTTCACACCACCAAATGTCAGCTGTGCCCTGGCTCCATAACTCCTCAGAGAGATAAATTCAGACACAGTGCCCACAGAACCAATAAAACCACAGGCACTGTGACAGGAACTGCACACAGATCAGCTACATCACACCTGCACAGACCACAGTGTAATAACATCACTGTTCCAGCTTCCCAGAAGAGATCGAGATTATAGTTTCACTTTATTCAAATTAAAGAATGTTCTATAAGGCCAAAAGGGAACAGTTTTGTGGTTTATAAGCTGAATCTCTATAGGTAAAGGCAGCTGTACTTTGAAAGTACTGATCAGGCTAGCTCTGGACAGAGTGCTGATCCATTCCAGGGTTCACTGCTTGACCCTAGAAACCTACAACACACAAGGGCATTACTACAATGTGAAATACTACTTCAGCCACAAGCATACGAGCAAACTTGTGGTCTCCAGACCCTACTGCTGGGTTCTGTACGACAGAAAACAGCTGACAGAACACGGAGTGGATCAGACCGCTGTACAAGGGGAATCACACTGACAGCCCACAGTGTTTCAGGCCCATTTCAGAGTGATGAAACCTGGCAGCCTGAAAACTCCCAACAGAGGTTTCTATTCCGGTCCGGTCTGAGCCATTCCTGTCCCCGAGGGGCACCCAGGGGTGGTAAAGGGCTGAGGGACGAGCAGGGAAGCAGATTGAGGACGGACAGGGAGAGGGGAGTCTGCTTTGAGCAAGACGCTGTGCCGACACAGAGCAGGGAAAGTAAAATTCGGGTGGCAGGAGTGAGAGAGAGAGGAGATCTGGGAGAGAACTGACAGCCCTCAGCCCACTGAGCCTAGTGGAGAAACTGGTAATGAACAGAGGCAGAGGGTCTGAACTGGTCTTGTGCAGAACAAATATATTCATCATACAAGCAGCCAAAAGAAAAAAGAAATAAGTCATGCTAATCCAAAACCAAATGACATTAAGCAAAGAGATATGTTTAATTTAAAAAATCCATTTCCATCCTGTACAACACACAGCTCAATTGACCTGTTGTTTTAACATTCCTTTTCCTATTTGTGTTTTATTTCTTTTCCAAATAAATAAAGAGAGTTAATCCTCAAAATGAAGAGGGACACAGCCGACTCCTGTCGGAGAAATGTTCCACCAACATCCTCTTATACAGTTAGAAACATGAACATGCAGCCTTCTCTATGTCTCTTAGAAAAAGAGAAATACTTTCGAAGAGAGATTTGATCTGCCAATTCTAAAAGATAACAAGATTCTTATGTTTGTGTTTTGTTTGCAAAGTCCCAGTTCATCCCAGCTGTCACCAGTTCATCCCAGTAGAAAAAGTCTGATCCAGAGTGAAAAGACACCTTTGTAATCCAGATCTGCTCACCTCTCCCGTCTGGGCCAGAGAAAATGGCCCCTTTGTTGTGCCGAGCGTCGAGCATTTCTTGAGCTGAAGGGAGAGAGCTGGAGGGAGCGGGGGACTCAGAGACACCTGAGCTGGGTGTGTGGGTCCAGAGACAGCCAACAGGGGCATAAGGGGCTCAAGGGGTTTCAGTCACAAACAACACAAAGTGATCCCTAGTTCAGCCTTAACCTGAGTTTAAGAACAGTTAGTTACCTTCTTCATCGTCATCATCATCATCATCATCATCATGGTGGTGGTCCTCTTTACTGTCATCATCGTCGTCATCGTCATCATCGTCGTCCTCGTCATCATCGTCCTCATCATCATTGTCGTCGTCTTCATCATCATCGTCATCATCATGTTTGCCATCATCATCGTCGTCGTCGTCATCATCGTCGTCGTCATCTTCATGTTTGACATCATCGTCATCATCGTCGTCGTCATCATCATCATCGTCGTCATCATCGTCGTTATCATCATCATCGTCGTCATCATCGTCGTCGTCTTCATGTTTGGCATCATCGTCATCATCATCATCGTCGTCATCGTCATCTTTGTCATCATCATCGTCGTCATCATCGTCATCATCATCTTTGTCATCATCATCATCGTCGTCATCGTCATCATCATCTTTGTCATCATCATCGTCATCGTCGTCATCGTCGTC